ATATGTATACATATGTATATATATATATATACATATGTATATATATATATATCAAATCTATACAAAATATATAAGCAGCATAACTGAAGCATTTACATTTTTTTCTTTGGTTTTAGATCCAAAGTGGAAATGTATATTTTTTCAAAAATATCCACGAGTAAGAGAACGAAAAAACATTGGCAAGCGCTTTGATTCAGCATAGAGGCTCGAACACTCACGATCGCCTTTGGTCTCAGTCTTAAAAGGAATCCGAAACCATCGTCACATATCCTTGCATTTTGCGGCGACAAAATGGACCAATATAGCACACGCGTTTGCTTAAGTTCTTCCATTGGATTTTTTATTTATTTTTTTGGATTTTTGTTTCTGTGAAGCTCTCCTACACACCGGGGCACTGTCGAGCTGTACCGTGGCACTTCACCAGCCGAGGCATTGGACGATGCAGCACTTGGGTGGTAACGAACACAGTGTTGCATTGGCACTTTGGCAGGAGGCTCGAGCTCCCTTTCGCAACCTCACTCTCCAGCTCTCCCGCAGCCAAGGGTACGTCTCAGGGTCCCAGGGAGCGTTCTTCGCTCGGACTCTTACGGAAAACTCAATCCTCGTTCTTGCGGATCACCAAGGTCGGAAGGAGCGGGTCACGAACTCCTCGGGGGACGCAGAACACTTACCTAAAGACACAACCCTGGGCCAAAGTGACTGGCGCCAGGCAAGAGACACAGAAAGGAAAAGGAACGCCCGCCTTGCCCTGTCCCGCCCAGGAACAAGTGAGGTCCCTAAGCCTACACCTCTTCTTTTTAAAACCTTGGGTGCCCGACCTGCCCTCTCGCGGCGACACTTGCTGGCAGAGCGCCGGCTGGGGGCGCTGCCAAGAGCCGGCGGCGTGCCCGGCCCTCGCCCTCTATGGCCATCTCTCCACGCTCCCCTAACTGCCGGCATATCACGGGAGGCAGCCTCTCCCTCGCACGCTGCCCCTCCTTCGGGAGACTCGAAGGACCCGCCAGCTGCAGGAGGACTCCATCTGAGCCGACGGCCACCGGGGGCGCGAGGGCGTCGGGGGCGGAAAGAAACGATCGCAGAAGCCTGGGAATTCACCTGCCGTTCAGCCGCCCTCGCTGACGGCCCGACGCATCAGCCTCCGCAGGTGAATGTTTCCTCTTGGCACGGGTGACCAGGCCCTCCGCGATGGCACTCATAACGCTATGCCGCGACGGAGGTGAACGGAGCGAAGCTGAAACTCCAAGGAGATCAGGGCCGAGAGTCTCCGAGGGAAGCAACAAGGCCTCAGAGCACGCGGGAGGAGTCTGTTTGGCCTGAAGGGCAGCGCGTCCCTTCGGCCGCGAGGCCTGAGGAGGCCTTTGCAGTGGCTGCGTCGGGGACACTCAAAACACAGATATATATATATATATATATATATATANGAGAAAGAGATAGATGGATAGATATTCAACAGAGAGAGATGGCGGGGAGGGGAGGAAAAAAAGGAGAGGAGAGAGAGGAGAGAGAGAGAGAGAGAGGAAGAGAGAGAAGGAAGAGAGAAGGAGGAGGAAGAGAGAGAGAGAAGAAGAGATGAGAGGAGAGAGAGAGGAGAGAGAGAGAGAGAGAGAAGAGAAGAGAGCGAGAGCAGAGACGAGAGAGAGAGAGAGAAAGAGAGACGAGAGAAGAGAGAGAGAGAGAGAGAGAGAGAGAGAGAGAGAGAGAGAGAGAGAGAGAGGAGAGAGAAGAGAGAGTCTCCAGAGACAGCAAACACAATAAAGTGATAGGGAATCAAGTATCAAGTGAAGTGTTTACGTAGAGGATCCAATCACTTTGTTCTGATTAATGAGAAATCTTTCGTTTACTTTTACTTGTTTCATTTATTTTCTCTTTTATTTTCGCTCTATGTATCATTTTTCTTCTACTGTAATTCCAACAAATTATTTCTACATTTATTTTATTAGTCGATCAATATATCTTTATGAATATATCCATCAATCAATACATCTACCTGATATATTTATCTAATCATAATCACCTATCGATTAATTTCTCTATCAGCCAATGCTTCTGTCAATTAATTCAGTCACTGACTACCACGCACATAATTACCTCGAAGGAACAATGTATCAAACGTACCAGGAATTAATTATGTAAAATGTTTCCAATTATATACGGAGATGAGGAGCATGCGAAGGTCAGTTGTTCATATTGCAAAGAGAGAGAGTGAGAGAAAGAGAGGGAGCGAGGAAGGAGGGGAGAGGAGGAGGAGGGGAGGGAGGGAGGAGGGAGGGAGGAGGAGGAAGGGAGGAGGGCGGAGGGAGGAAGGGAGGAAGGGAGGAGGGGAGGGAGGGAGGGAGGGAGGGAGAAAGAGAGAGAGAGATAGAGAGAATGAGAGAGAGAGAGAACGAAAAAGACAGACGAGCAGACAGACAGACAATAAGAAAAACACACGAACAAACAGAAAGAGAGAAAGAGACAGACAAACAACGAAAGACAGAAAGACAAACAAAGAAACAAAAAATGATATCCAATCAAAATCAATTCAATACAACATATCACAGTCCATATGACACATCTAATCAGAGCGTGGTCAGCTTCTCCCTTTGGTTCTTCTCTCTTAATCAACACTGTCAATGGTTTCAGTAAAAATATTGCAATATATTGTGCAATTGCAATTACAACTTTCTTTATCTATATTCGGGGAAAGAGAGAGAGAGAAGAGCGAGAGCGAGAGAGAGAGAGAGAGAGAGAGAGAGAGAGAGAGAGAGAGAGAGAGAGAGAGAGAGAGAGAGAGAGAGAGAGAGAGAGAGAGAGAGAGAGAGAGAGAGAGAGAGAGAGAGAGAGAGAGAGAGAGAGAGAGAGAGAGAAACAGACAAAAAAATTCATAGATAAAAATACGTATTCTCCCTCACTCCATCTCCCACACACATTCTCTCTGTCTCTCTCAATTCCTCCATCTATCTACACACCAACTATCAATCCCTCTCACTCTCTCTATCTCTCTCTCTTTCTCTCTTTCCTCCTCATTATCACCCCTTTCGTCTCCCTCTCTCCTCCAGATCAACTTCTAGGTCGGAATCAGCTGATTTCTCGAACTTATCCAGACATAATTCGAACGTCTTGGGAAAGGAAAATAGTCTATTCCTTGGTCAGGTTTCCTTCTCTCCGCCTTCTCAGCTCTCTCTCTCGAACTCTATCTGCTTGTCTGTCTATTTGTCTGTTTGTCGATTTGTCTGCTTCTCTGTCTGCTCATCCGCCAGTTTATCTATCCATCTGTCTATTAGTCATACTATATATTTGTCTATCTATCCATCTGTCTATCTATCTACCTATCTATCCATTTATATATGTATCTACCTATCTGTCTATCACTCCAAACATCTATCTATCTGATTATCTCTATATCTATCTATCTATCTAATTATTTCTATATCTATCTATCCATCTAATTATCTACCTATCTATCTTGAAATCTATCTATCAGTAAATCTACCAATCTATCTATCAATATGTTTATCTATCTCTACCTACATAACGTCAGAGAAACTACATAACAACCTATAAATATCCTTTTATAAACTTTCTGTGTGGAATTGTTCCATACTCGATCCATGTTTGCTTCTTCTTTATATAAAAAGAAGCATCGTTGTAACTGTGGACAATTGAAATCGGAAATAACTGTTCGCTCTCTCTCTTCTTTCTTCCTCCCTTCCTCTCTCTCTCTCTCTCTGTCTCTGTCTCTCTCACTCTCTCTCTCTCTCTCTCTCTCTCTCTCTCTCTCTCTCTCTCTCTCTCTCTCTCTCTCTCTCTCTCTCTCTCTCTCTCTCTCTCTCTCCTCTCTCTCTCGTAATGGTGACGTCATACCTTTTCGAAAATCCTCGAGGATTGCAAAATATCATTTCGATAATGGTGTTGCGTATGGGCCTCAATCCCTTGATTCAGTGTGTATTTCGTTTAATACAGTGTGTAATGAGAAATGTGGTGTGTGTCGAAATTATCATATATTCAAGGGTCAATTAAGCTTTGTCCTGATTGTTTCGTTCGCAGTATAATAGCATGCAAGCAAGTATGGCAAAGAAAAATGCAGACACGCAGACAGACATTTCTCAAATATACATATATATATATATAATATATATAATATATATATATATATATATAATATATATATATATATATATATATATATAATATACACACACACCAAACCACATTTCATACGTATATATATATATTATATATATATATATCATATAATATATAATAATCAATATATATATTATATATATATATATATATATATATATATATATATATATATAATAATATATAATATATATACATATAATATATATTATAATATATATATAATACTATATATATTATATATATATATATATATATATATATAATATATATATATATATATATATATATATATATATTATATATACATACATAACATATATATATATTATATATATATATATATATAATATATATATATACAATATTATATATAATATATATAATATATACATACCATACATACATATATATTATATATATATATATATAATATATATATATATATATATATATATATATATATATATATACTATATATATATTTTATATATGGACAAATAGATAGATAGAATCGCACACACACTACACATCACACACATATGTATAACAAATTACACAGGCGCCTGTCACACACATACACACTCAGTCAGACAGGCAGATTCGTAGGGAGAACGCGTTTAGAGTTATACATAGATCTGTCTCAGTCTCCCGACTCCTTTAGCAAAAGATATTAAAAGTCAGATCTAACCGCGTTCTTGAGTGGCTCGTGTACTCTCAGAGTGTTTTAGAAGGTTGACGTCTACCTCTGTTGACTGTCTGCTAAAAGCTCTTTCCCTCTTGATTCTGTGTATATATGTTTCAAAGAAGAATATATAGAGTTGGATTTGCTATCGGGTGTTCTTTGAATAGGGTTGTATTCTCTCTCTCTCTCTCTCTCTTTCTCTCTCTTTGTCTCTTCTCTCTCTCTCTCTCTCTCTCTCTCTCTCTCTCTCTCTCTCTCTCTCTCTTCTCTCTCTCGCTCTCTCTCTCTCCTCTCTTCTCTCTCTCTCTCTCTCTTCTCTCTCTCTCTCTCTCTCTCTCTCTCTCTCGCTATCTCTCTCTTCCTATTCGTTTTTCTTCTTTTTGTTTGTCGCATTCTCTAGCCTCCTTCTCTTACCCTTTCCGCTTCTTCGTCTCCTCGCCCCTATTCTTCTTTTCGACTTTTTCTTTCTCTTTCTCCTCCTCCTCTTTATTTTTCTTCTCATTCTTCTTATCATAATTTCCTTCATTTGCCTTTCCTCTTTACCGAACTATGTTTGTTCATAATACAAACAAACACAGTCTACCAAGCGCTTAAAAATCTACAATTGGGGACGTATCAAGAGATCTGAAATTAATTATAGTTCTACTATGTCATAATTACTATCTCTTCTCACAAAGATAATTATAATGATTTTTGTTTCCTTTGAGAATGCTTCCAGAAAGTAGATTATAGTGATACAGTCGTTATCGCTTTTAATTATCGCACAAACGATGATTTCGTTATCATAACTAATTTTTCTTTTATAATTGTGTCCTTAATGGTGATCCTGAATTCATAATTACCACTTATTATCTCCCGAAAAGGTAATTACAGTACTATAGTCTCATTTTAACTATTTTCATTTCCTGATGATCTATTTCAGTAATATAAATTTTGGTCTTCCACGGTCTGACTGGTTACCATGGCAACATAATGTGCCTTGTTATATGCTCTCCCTCTCTCTCTTCCTCTCT